AAACTTTGGGTGGAGACTTAGCATAAGGACCTGGCTGCTGCTTCCCACTCAGGGCCAGTACATAAAAGACCTTCAACGATTTGTGTGTGTGTGTGTGTGATAGAATCTTACTATGTTGCCCAGGCTGGAGTGCAGTGGCACGATCTCAGCTCACTGCAACCAATGCCTCCTGAGTGGCTGGGATTATAGGCATGTGCCACCATGCCTGGCTGATTTTTGTATTTTTAGTAGATACCAGGTTTCACCATGTTGGTCAGGCTGGTTTCGAACTCCTGACCTCATGATCCACCCACCTCAGCCTCAAAGTGATGGGATTATAGGCATGAGCCATAGTGCCCGGCCAACAAATATTCGTTAACGTGACCCCTTTGAAGAAAATGTCCACGGATGCCTCCGTGAGGTGCCTGTGCTAGGACTCTGAGCTCCCTGTTTTGAGGCCCTGGCTTCAGTTGTAGGAGAGTGAGAGTGGTAACTGCTGTGCCTGAACCCTCCCCCCAGAAGGTGGGTCACATCATCCTCACTCTTGGGAGCAGCAGAGTGGAGCTGAGTCAGCCCTGGGAACAGCAGAGGTTGGGGCCTAGGGTAGAGGGACCCAGGTTTTGAGCAAGGAAATATAGGAGATCCAACTTCTCCAGGGAACAGGCAGGCTGAGGCCTCTGAGGTGCCAAAACTGGGCAGGCCAGAGCCATGGGCATCGCAGAAGAGAGATGGCAGGCAGGGCTTCTTATTCTCATTTTACTTCTAATAGTTAGCTTTGTGGCCTTGGGCAAATCACTTTTCCTTTCTGAATCTGCATCATGAGAAAATGAGGAGATTGATCTGGGTGAGCTGTCGCCTGTAAAGTTGTGTGGCTCCATTTGGGTCATTCACTGAGCAGACATTCTATGAGCACCTACTGTGCTTCAAGCATGGCACAAAGTGCCGGTGTGGCTGAGTAAACTGACCTAATTCCTGCCCTCACAGGGCTTATGATGTAGTCCGGACAGACAATAAACAGGTAACTAGTAAATACATAGAAAATTACAAATTGCTGTTAGGAATGGAATGGAAAGCAGGTGGGGTGGGGAGGTTCTTACGTGGAGTGGCTAAGGGAAGGCTGCTCTGAGGAGGTGATGTTTAAGCTGAGACTTGAATGATGGAAAGAATAAACTGTGGGGCAGGGCACAGTGGCTCACACCTGTAATCCCAGCACTTTGGGAGGCCAAGGCAGGAATATTGCTTGAGGCCAGGAGTTCGAGACTGTCCTGGGCAACATGGTAAAACCCGCTCTCTACCAAAAACAAAAATAAAAACAAAACATAGCCGGCACACACCTATAGACTCAGCTATTTGGGAGGCTGAGGAAGGAGATCACTTGAGCCCAGGAGGTTGAGGTTGTAGTGAACTGCAATCATGCCACTGAACTCTAGCCTGGGGACAGAGTGAGACCTTGTCTCAAAAAGAAAAAAAAAAGAAAAAAAAAAACCTGGCAGAAAAGTGTTCTAGACAGAGAATCAGCAAGTTCAAGGTCTAAGGCAGGAGGGAGGAGGCATGTTGAGGAGATTGGAAGGGAGGGCAGGGTGGCTGGAACAGTGTAAGCAAGGTGGCAATGACATGAGGCTGAGCTGTACAGGCCTTAGAAGGCATGAGGAGATTTATTTGATCCCAGGTGCTTTGGGAAGCTATTTGAAGCATCTAGCCAGAGAAACAACTGACTCCAGTTTGAGGTGGCTGAGAGAGCAAGCAGGACAGCAATGCTCCTGAGTGGATCCCTGGGTTCAAGGTTGGGCTCTGCCACTTTATGTTTCATTACCTTGGGCAAGGTACTTAACCTCTTTGTGCCTCAGTTTTCTCATTGTAGTTGCTAAAAGCACAGACTCTGAAGACAGGCCACCTGGTTCAAAGCCTAGGTTTATTGCTTTCATGCTGTGTGATGTTGGACAATTTTCTTTTTTTATTATTTTTATTTATTTTTTATTTTTGGACAATTTTCTTAACCTCAGCATCCTTACCTGTAACGTTAGAATAAGAATAGGAGTCAGCTCACCAGATTGTGGTGAGGGTTAAATGGGTCATAGACACAAAAGCTACAAGAGGGCCTGGAATTTAGTGAGTGTTCAACAAACATTACCTGGTGCTATTATTACGATTTCATCATCATCGCTATTATAATTATAAGATACATGACTGTGGATAGGTAAATTTCCTCTCCTGAACCTCATTTTCCACATCCTAGGATGGTTCTAAGGGGTAAATTCATATATATATTTCCTCCCCAGAGTAGGAGCTGGCTAAAGAGCAGCCGTTTTGGTTTCTGTGCAAGGCCTGGAATTGGCTAGGAGGCTCTTCGTGGCCACTGTACTCAACATGAAAGACACACGAGGTGCTTCCCTCCCCATAGCACCCTCACATGTGCTATCTTTCATAGATCCTCAGCAGCTTCATAGGAAAGGTGGCATAGCTCCAGCCCAGTCTTGCCAAAGAAAGACAAGGCCAGGGCTCAGAACACCCAAGAGTTTGTACGTGGTCATATTTCAAGATCTAGAACCCAAATGGTGGAGGTGGGGAGGGTGTTCCAGATCCAGCTTCACATCTCCTTTCAAATTCAGAATCCTTTGGAGACATGTGCAGCAGATATTCTCACCTCCATTTCACAGACAAGCAATGGCCTAGGAGGTACTGCGTGCCCCAAATCATATAAGTACTATTTTGAAATATGGAATCAATCTAAGTGTCCATTAACAGATGAATGGTTAAGGAAAATGTGGGACATATACACAATGGAATATCATTCAGCCATAAAAAGGAATGAGATCCTGTCATTTGCAGCAGTGTGGATGGCGCTGGAGGCTGTTACGTTAAGTGGAATAAGCCAAGCACAGAAAGACAAATATTGCATGTTCTCATTCATACGTGGGAGCTACAAACTGGATCTCATGGAGATAGAGAGTAGATTGGTGGTTAGCAGAGGCTGGAATGTGGAAGAAGAGAGGAATAAGAAGAAAGAAGAATATGCATATATTTATTTCCAGTGAACTATGTGCTTAAAAGTGGTAAAGACTACAGGGACCAGCTCAGCTATAGAGACCCCGACCCAGGCAGCGCTGAAGGCATTAAGAAGCAGACACCCAGATAGAACAGCAAAGTGGGACTATCCGGGGAGTCTGGGGGCAACAGCCTTCTGAGCTGAGAGCCTCAGGAGGCTGACAGTATTCCAGGCTGAAGGCCTCAAGCAGATTCTGACCCACATAATTATTCTCTCTGAACAGGTGATTAATATTAACAAACAGGTGTTCTATGTTTTCTCATAGAACCGAGATAAACTAGTCAGACAGCTGGTGCTTGTTTACCACTGATCAACGACAAACCAGAAAGTATTCTCCACGAGGGAGCCATGGGGGGCAGGGTCACATAGCCCATGCTTAAAGAATTGTTTTAACCTGTGTATGATATACGTATACTGTCTTGCCACTTTAGAATGCCCCAAGTAGTTTTCCACTTGGGGGCAGGGTCAGCTAGGTTTTCCTCATCATCGTTCTTAGCAAACAATATATTTTATCATATACTCAGCATTTCTCAACAAAAGATGGTGATTAGATATGTATATTGCACCTCAACCACAGCAACTTGGATCCAGGATTACTCCCAACCCCATGTGTCCTCCACAGAGCAGGCTTCTTGGTTTATGGCCCTTTTTCTTCTTAAGCCCAACACAGCTGGCATTAGTGGCTCTGGGGCCACTAACTTTTCCTGCCCCTGCCCCTCCTTTCTTGAGCCTTGAGAGGCTGAAGAGTGAGCACTGGATTGGGAGTTCAGCAACAAGGATTCTAGTCCTGGCTCTGCCTGTCCCAGGGTGTCTCCTTAAAAAGGGGATTACACTCTTCATCAAGGAAGCGAGTATGCCTGTGGACTTCCATCTCCCTTCCACATAGAACAAAGTAGGAATTCAAGTTGAGGAGCAGGAGGGCAGCTCGAGTTGGAGAGAGGAGGGCCTGTGGCCACTGAAGTCTGTGAGAGATGGAGGAGAAACAAGCCTGCAGCAAAAGGTGTGGTGGGTGGCTGCAAAGATAAGGTCTAGAAGAGGACTAGTTTGATTTTTTTTTTTTTTGAAACACAGTTTTACTCTGTTACCCCAGGCAGGAGTGTAGTGGCGCAATCTCAGCTCACCACAACTTTTACATCCTGGGTTCAAGCGATTTCCCTGCCTCAGCCTCCTGAGTAGCTGGGATTACAGGTGCCCACCACCATGCCCGGCTAATCTTTGTATTATTAGTAGAGGTGGGGTTTCACCATGTTGGCCAGGCTGGTCTCAAACTCCTGACCTCAGGTGATCTGCCTGCTTTGGCCTCCCAAAGTGCTGGGATCACAGGTGTGAGCCACCGCACCCAGCCTGTTTTACTTTTTTTGAGACAGTCTCTTGCTCTGTCGCCCAGGCTGGAATGTAGTGGCAGGATCTCAGCTCACTGCAACCTCTGCCTCCTCAGCTCAAGAAATCCTCCCATCTCAGCCTGGGCCTACAGGCATGCACCTGGCTAACTTTTGTAATTTTTGTAGAGATGTGTTTTCACCATGTTGCCCAGGCTAGTCTCAAACTCCTGGGCTCAAGTGATCCACCTACCTGGGCCTCCCAAAGTGCTGGGATTACGTGTGTCAGCCACTGCACCTGGCGCCTAGCTGTTTGACTTTTGTTGTAAGTCCTAAGGAAGAGAAAACAGGTTTATCTGACAAAAAGAAGAACTGTAATTGGACATTGGGGAAAACTTGAGAGCAATAGTGGCATCAATAGATTGCTGGAGTAGGTGGGACAGTGGGTAATGTGATTTAGGTACTCTTCTAATTCCAGCGTCAGAGGAATTCCATGTCATGTAGCAAAAAGGGCCCAGGATTTCTCCTGCCTGTCATTTGCTCAGTGATCCAAGATAAATTCACCTCCTGTTTAAGGCCTTCTTTTTCCCATCTAGAAAATCTGCGGGCAAACCTGGCCAGTCTCTGAGGTTTAACTTTCTGCAACTTTTCCCTAGGGCCTTCACCAGCTCTTCCTTCCAGAGGGTGAACACGACACACGACCCTTCATCCTGTTAAGCCTGGGAAATGAGATGATACGGATAAGGAAGGAAAACTTTTATGAACTGATTGACAATGATGATGAGATGATACACAAGTTGTTAAAGCTCAGTACAGCATTCCCCAGGTCAGTACTGGAAATATGCCTAAGTCCCATCCGGTGAAATGAACATTTTTTTACCTGTTATTTTAGTAAAAGAAAAAAATATAATACTGCTGACAAGGGTGAAATGAAACTGGGAGTTGTTGGTACAGACTAGATAGGCTCAATCCTTTTGATAAGAATTTTAGCATTACATTTCAAGGGCTATAAAACTGTCCCGACACTTTGAGACAGAGATTTATCTGTGAATTTACAGAGTCAAACTACTGAGAAAGCCCCTGCATTAAGATGTTCAATGCAGGGCCAGGCATGGTGACTCATGCCTATAATCCTAGCACTTTGGGAAGCTGGGGCAGGCAGATCACTGGAGGTCAGGAGTTTGAGAACAGCTTGGTCAACCTAGTCAAATCCCATCTCTACTAAAAATACAAAATTAGCCAGGTATGGTGGCACATGTCTGTAATCCCAGCTACTCAGGAGGCTGAGGTAGGAGAATCGCTTAAACCTGGGAGGCAGAGGTTGCAGTGAGTGGAGAGGATACCACTGCACTCCAGCCTGGGTTGTCTTAAGAAACAATAAGGCTGAGCATGGTGGCTCACACCTGTAATCCCAGCACTTTGGGAGGCCAAGGTGGGTGGATCACGAGGTCAAGAGATCGAGACCATCCTGGCCAACATGGCGAAACTCTGTCTCTACTAAAGGTGGCTAAGGCAGGAGAATTGCTTGAACCAGGAGGCGGAGATTGCAGTGAGCCGAGATTGCACCACTGCACTCCAGCCTGGCACCTGGCAACAGAGCAGGACTCTGTCTCAAATAAAATAAAATAAAATGTAAAAGTTAATTTACCCAGACCAGTGGTCTCCAAACTGTTTCACCTCATATTGCTGTTACTTAAAAGTGTTCAAGTATGTATTCCCTGGTATGCATATGTAATATAAATAACACATTATTTTTGTTATATCTACATGTATTACTGTACTTATATATATTATAAACATATAAAAATAGATCTCTTAAAAGAATAAGAGAAAGATAAATATAAATGAAATCCAGGCCAGGTGTGGTGGCTTATGTTTGTAATCCCAACACTTTGGGAGGCTGAGGTGGGCGGATCATGAGGTCAGGAGATTAAGACCATCCTGGCCAACATGGTGAAACCCCATCTATACTCTACTAAAATACAAAAGATTAGCTGGGTGTGGTGGTGCACACCTGTAGTCCTAGCTACTTGGGCAGCTGAGATAAGGGAATTGCATGAACCCAGGAGGCAGAGGTTGCAGTGAGCCAAAATTGCCCCATTGCACTCCAGCCTGGCGACAGAGCAAGACTGTCTAAAAAAAAAAATATATATATATATATATATATGTATATATGTATATGTATATATATGTATGTATATATGCACATATATATACATATATGTGTGTGTGTTTATACATTTATATGTATATATAAATGAATGTATAATATATACATACACACACACACACACACACACACACACACATATATATGAAATCCTGTTCACATACTCTATTAGATCTTGTACATCTCCCTGGGTGACAAATCTCTCCACCCCAACTTTGTGTGTGTGTGTGTGTGTGAGAGAGAGAGAGAGAGAGAGAGAGAGAGAGACAGGGTCTCACTCGGGACCACAGGCAGGTGCCACCATGCCTGGCTAATTTTTTTGTATTTTTTGGTTGAAATAGGGTTTTGCTATGCTGCCTAGGCTGGTCTCAAACTCCTGAGCTCAAAGGATCCACCCACCTTGGCCTCCCAAAGTGCTGGGATTGCATGAGCCACTGCTCCTGGCCTCCATCCCCCACTTCGGGACCACCAAGCTGGACTCCTGCAAGAGTCTTATCATGGGTTCCTCTCCTTCAGTCTTTTCCCTGCTGGATTCTTTCTGCACACTGTGTTCTTGTTAAAACTCTAATCCAGTTGTGTTAAACTCTTGCTTGAAACCTTTCAGTGGTATCTCACTACCTATAGGATAAAATCCAAACTCAGTGCTACCTCAATGACCCACCACAGTCTAGCCCCTACTCAGGCCCCCTGCAGCATCTCCTGCCGCCTCCAACCCACTCCAGCAACCCAGGTGGGTTGCCTGCTAGGTGCTGCACATACCTTGCCTTTGCTAGTGCTGGCTGTTTTGCCTGAAATGCTAACCCTAGTCCTGCCCTGACCCTTTGTGATACATTCCTGCTCATTCTGTAAGATTCATCGTCTGCAGCAAACCTCCTCAGACTAACCCCAGTTTGGGATAAGTACTCCTTTTCTGCACACTCATAATATTCTCCACACAGCTCTGTCATTGACTCTATCATGTTGTCATATAGTTACCTGTTTGCATAGCTCTTTCCCTCCACCTGATTAAATGCTTCAGGAAGGCAAGGCTGTGCATTATCCACCTTTGGTCTCTAGCACCTGTAACAGTACCCAGCATGCAGCAGGTGCTTAATAAATTTTGGCTAAATGTGAATGATTGGGTCATACTCATTGCAGAAAATTTAAAAAACACTGAACAGCAAAAAAGACAAAACCCAAATCATTTGCAGTCCTCCAGCAATCCCAGTTAGCATTTTCTGTATTTCCTTTTAGTGTTTTTCTTCACTTCATGGATATGTACCAAATGTGCATTTATCATCATGCTCTGTTTTCATAACAGAGCTCATACTTCTTACACAATTTTGCATCCTCTCTTTTTTCTTTACTTGCAGTGATATTGTGATCAGACATGGTTTTGCCAGCAGGTGTGGGAAGCGACTGATTACAATGGTAGAGAAAAGTGGGTATGAAGGCAGGCAGAGCTGCAGGTGATTCCAGCCCCTGGCCAACAGGCATACAAAAGGATCTCACAGGAGCTCTTCATGACCTTGGGCAATGTGAGCTCTTCATGACCTCCTCTAGGCTTCTGACTCCAGTCAGAAACACAAGAAAATTAGAGTAGATCAGTGTTTTTTAGAGTATGGAATATATTCCACAGGAGGCTTACAGGATGACTTCAGGCAGCTCATAGATTGATATTTTTAGTTTTAACAGTTAGGTATTTATTTGTGTGAATGAGAAAAAGCAGCGTGACTAGCTTACTAACCCTGTGATCTGACAGATCATGTTGCTTAAGACAAAGTTAAAGTAAATATTTAAGTAAAAGAAACGGAATAGATTGAAGGAAAATCATTAGTAAATTTAAAGAGCAGATAATATAGGGCCAACATTGGGACAGTCTTGTGAGAAAAACAAGCCGAGAAATACTGATGGTTCCTTCTGGTTCAAGGATGCCACACTTCTCTGATTCCTGGGTACTACCAAAATAGGAAATGGCCATTCAGACCTACCACTCAAAAAAGGGTTTAAGGCACCTTAGCTCCTTGCATAATGCCTGGCTTGTGATGGGGATCAGTTAATAACTGTTGAATGGAAATTCAGGGAAAGTTTACATAGACTTGAGTGGGGGCAGATGGAACACTCAGCATCCGCCTTGCTCAGTCAGCGTTTGCAGCCCTCATCTAGAATGCTGACCCACAGAATTCGGTCTTGTTCATTAATCGTTGAACTCATGGCTTTCTAGACTGCTAAAGCAGGCAGAAAACATATCCATTATCTAGCTCAAATCCCTCACGTTTTAACCGAGGACTCTGAGGTCCTGAAGATCAGTGGCAGAGGCACCTGTTAGGTGAATAGCGCAGGCTGAATATCCTGAAAATCACCTGTACAGAGCACAGGGAGGCCACGAGAGATAGGACACATGGCTGCATCCACAAGAAAGTCAGGAAATCTCCCAGGGTCAAAGTGAAGAGGATCACTCAAAACCGGTAGATAATGTGAACTAATGCTGGGGATTGCCCAAGAGAGCTTAAGGGTATCACGGGCTGATTTTTTTTTTTTTTTTTTTTTGAGACAGAGTCTCACTCTGTCACCCAGACTGGAGTGCAGTGTCATGATCTCAGCTCACTGCAACATCCACCCACCAGGTTCAAATGATTCTTGTGTCTCAGCCTCCCAAGTAGCTGGGATTATAGGCGTGGACCACCACACCTGGCTAACTTTTGTATTTTTAGTAGAGACAGGGTTTCACCATCTTGGACAGGCTGGTTTTGAATTCCTGAAGTGATCTGCCTGCCTGGCCTCCCAAAGTGGTGGGATTACAGGCATGAGCCACTGTGCCTGGCTATGGGCCGATGTTTTAAAGGCTGAAAGGACAGATGCAGCTTTCAGTTCAAGTAAGACAGGGGATTGGAACTGAGACCCCTGTGTGAAGCCGAGGCTACCCTGTTCAGTGAAAAAGTAGACTAGAAATCAGTGTGACCATCAGCATCAGGAAGTGACATGGAGTCTTGTCTGTCTTAGCTTAGTATCTAGGTTAAAAAAAAATCTCTTAAGAATTAGTCATCACATGCTTGTCCCTCCTAGGTTTTGATGAATCCCTTAGCCTCACCCCAGTTTCTATGTTTGTGAAATAGGGTGGTTGTGAAAATTAAATGAGTTAACAAATGTAAGGTGCTTGACACATGGTAAGTTCTAAGTCAGAGTGATGTATTCAGCTTGTCTCCTTAGGTAAGGGAGCACAGTTGAGTTAATTGAAGGTTTTTTTTTTTTTTTTTTGAGTTAATTGAAGTTTAACACCCCCTTGCTTTGCTGTGGTCTCAGGAGACTTCAGTCCTTCTTCCACCTTCCTCAGCCTTACTCGCTATGAGGGGAGAGGGCAGGGTGGAGCCAGAGCACCATGACTAGTCTAAGGCAGCCACAAATCTACTGCCTGTCTCTATAGACCTGCCTATTCTGGACATTTCACATAAATGGAATTGGGCAATATGTATATACCACACTTTATTTATCAATATAAAATGACTAATAAGCTATTTTACATTCTTTTGTTGTTCTAAGTGTGAAATCTGGTGTGTATTTTACACTCACAGCACATCTCTAATTCAGACTGGCCACATTGCAGGTGCTCAGTAGCTACATGTGGGCCATTGCTGCTACATGAGACAGAACAGGCCTAAGGGAAGAAAACTGTGGAAAGGGAAAGGAGCTGAGGGAGAGTCCGGGAGGGGCAGAGAAGTGGGATGAAGCACCATGCGCTTAGGGAGGGGAGAGTGGCAGGAGGTAAGGCTGGAGGGGCAGGACTGGCTTGAGAACCTCGGCTTCTGTGCCTGACCTTTAGTGATGAAGATATGTGCCAGAAGTTCCTCCAGGAGAACAGCTGGAATGTCTTTCGGAAGGATCTGTTGCAGCTGCTAGTGAAGCATCGCCAAATTCCACCATTCACCCCAATCCGGCCCAAGAAGAAAGGGATATACGACCCTAGGTCTGTGGTCCTCAATTTGTGCAGCATCAACAAGACGACTAAACCTTGTTATCCCATTTTTAAGGCGCCCCAGAAATACCTGCCCCCATTGAGGATTGTCGAAGGCATCAAAGCACCTCGGTACAAAATCCAAGAACTCTTGCCTCAGTATAAGAGTGCAGGGGTCCTTATTTAGGACAAATAAAGGATGGCAGATTGGCCACCATGCTTTCTGAATGACCATGGGAGTTATGGGACTTGGAGGAGGGGGGCCTGAAGGGCTGAGCTGTGGGTCCAGGGAGGTATTTGGGGGACAGCAATGGGGGCACAGTCTCCCTTGATGCTTGAGGGCTGGGCTGAGTGAATGGATGGTCAGAGGCTGGGTTTGGATGGGTTAATCACTGGGGATGGTCTCAGGGTAGGAGGGTCTTACCTGATGAGCTGGATGTGGGGAAGGCCCAGATCAAAGTGGTCAAGACTAGGGTTGCAGATGCTTTCCAAGGCCAGACAGGTCATCTAAAGGAATGTAACAGCAGGGCTGGGAAGGCAACAGGAAGTGGTGAAAATGCTGGGCCTGCTGTATAAGTTCCACATCCAGATGGGGAAGCTACCCCTTAGCCCAGTCAGCTGCTGCTCTGCCAGAAAATAATGCAGGCCTCATATTGTCAATCTGTAGATTCTTGAAGAGAATCAAGAAATTCAATATTTTAGGTGATTCCTACTGGTTTTTAAACATGAGCAACTAATTCAGATTGTTTTTAAATAGTGTCAGACAAACCAAACACATATGTGGGCTATGTTGGGCCTACAGGTGGTGGGCTGGATTCCTGTCAGAGAGTGAAGTGAGACTGTCATTGGTTGGGAGGAGGGTACAGGAGCTAGAGAGACGTTGATGGGGCAGCCTGACAGGAGCAGGCATCAGGTCCAAGATGCGGAGTGAGCAGCTGTGATGGAGGAGGTGGGGACAAAGAGGCTGCAGAGTTGGAACTAAGAAGGGCTCCTCATTCTCTCTTCCGAGTCCTTAATCTGGAGCTGCTCATCACTGATCTGCACCTAGAACTCAGGGCTCCTTTTTCCAGCAGACTCGGCACCACAGACCAAGTGCCAGATACCTCTTTCCCTTCGGGAATCCCATAGGTTAGTTTGAGAGCGCTGAGGAGCCTGGCGGAGGCCATGACGGGACAGGAGCCTGCCCACTTCCAAGTCACCCACTCTGTCCCTGGCAAGGCATAGACTTTGAGAAATGCCTGGGCATCAAGCTGGGCACCAGGAGCTCTGACAGTCTCAGGTGTGCTTCTGTCTCACTGGACCCTCTTGAGCACTTTGATTCCTTTATCTGTACCTCAGTTTTCCTAGTGGTGAAATGAGCAATTTGGACAAGATCAATGGCTTTCATCAATGAGGGTGAGTATAGTTTGAAAAGCATATTCAACGTTGTAGTTTTGTTAGTTGTACTTATTTTATCTTATTTTTTGAGAATAGGGTCTAGCTCTGTTGCCCAGGCTGGAGTACAGTGGCATGATCATAGCTCACTGCAGCCTTGAACTCTTGGCTCAAGCAATCCTCCTGCCTTAGCCTCCAAAGTAGCTTGGAGTACAGGTATACACCACCATGTAGGGCTGATTTAAAAATATTTTTGTAGGGACAGGGTCTTACTGTATTGCTGAGGCTGGTCTCAAACTCATGGCCTCAAGTGATCCTCTCACCTTGGCTTCCCGGAGTGCTAAGATTACAGGTATGAGCCTGATACAATTTGGCTGTGTCCCCACCCAAAATCTTATTTTGAATTGTAATAATCCCCACGTGTCAAGGTCAGAACCAGGTGGAGATAATTGAATCATGGGGACAATTTTCCCCATACTGTTCTCTTGATAGTGAGTTCTCACAAGATCTGATGGTTTTATAAGGGGCTTCCCTGTTTGCTCAGCTCTCATTCTCTCACTGCTATGTGAAGAAGGATGTGTTTGCTTCCCCTTCTGCCATGATTCTAAGTTTCCTGAGGCCTCTCCAGCCATGTGAAACTGTGAGTCAATTAAATGTCTTTTCTTTATAAACTACCCAGTCTCAGGTGTGTCTTTATTAGCAGAGCCACTACACTGGGACTGTTGGTTGAGTTTAAAAGAGAACTGTTTTCATGTTGCATACCAGAAAAGGAAGAGTATGAAATTTTTCTCTCTGAAGGGGATGTGGAGGTAAAGGGTAAAGAAGCAGTGGACTAGGCCAGGTGCGGTGGCTCACACCTGTAATCCCAGCACTTTGGGAGGCCGAGGCAGGCGGATCATCTGAGGTCAGGAGTTTGAGACCAGTCTGGCCAACATGGTGAAACCCCGTCTCTACTAAAAATACAAAATTAGCCATGCGTGGTGGCGGGCACCTGTAATTTCAGGCTTAGGAGGCTGAGTTTGGAGAATCACTTGAACCCGGGATGCAGAGGTTTCAGTGAGCTTCTGAGATTGCGCCATTGCACTCCAGCCTGGGCCACAAGAGTGAAACTCCATCTAAAAAAAAAAAAAAGCAGTGGACTTATGGATCTTCACTTCCCTGATAGCTCCCAGAGTCAAGAAGTCAGGGATGTCTGCAGCAGTCCTGGAAAGGTTGACTGTGACTCACAAGGACAAGGGGTCACTGTTTTGGGACCAAGGAAGTTGGGGTGTCTGACCATATTTAGGTTTTTGTTTTCGTTTTTGTTTTGCATTTAGGGCTGTGGCTTCAAGATGACGGTGCGGGCTTCTTGTTCATCCACTTGAAATTTATTTATTTATTTTTGGAGAGAGTCTTGCTTTGTTGCCCAGGCTGGAGTGCAGTGGTGCAATCTCAGCTCACTGCAGTCTCCGCCTTCCGGGTTCAAGGCGATTCTTGTGTCTCAGCCTCCCAAGTAGCTGGCACTACAGGTGTGTGACACCATGTCCAGCTACATGCCTGACTATTTTTTTGAATTTTTAATAGAGATGGGGTTTTGCCATGTTACCCAGGCTGGTCTCAAAATCCTTAGCTCAGGTAATCTACCTACCTTGGTACTTCCAAAGTGCTAGGATTATAGGTGTGAGCCACCACGCCCAGGCTTGAAATTTATTTATTGAGCACTGCAGAGAGAATCAAAGGACATAAGATACATTTTCTGTTGCCTTTTATTTCCTAGTCTAGGGGTCAGCAAAATCCTTTTAAATTTTATGTTTTTAAATTTATTTTTGAGACAGGGGTTCTCTCTTGTCACCCAGGCTGGAGTGCAGTGGTATGATCATAGCTCACTACAGCCTCAAACTCCTGGATTCAAGTGATCATCCTGCTTCTGCCTCTTAAGTAGCTGGGACTACAGGTGTGCACCACCATGCCTAATTTTTTTTTTTTTTTTTTAGGAGACGGGGTCTCACTATGTTGGCCAGGCTGGAGTGTGGTGGCTATTCACAGGTGCAGTTCCAATACTAATCAGCATGGGAGTTTTGACCTGCTCCGTTTCCAACCTGAGCTTGTTCACCCTTCCTTAGGCAACCTGGTGGTTCCTGCTCCAGGGAGGTCTCTGTATTGATGCCGAACTTAGTGTGGACACCTGATGGGCATAGTGCACTACAGCCCAGAACTCCTGGACTCAAGCAATCCTCCCACCTCAGCCTCCTGAGTAGCTGGGACTACAGGCATGCACCATTGTGCCGAGCTTCTTTTTTTTTTTTTTTTTTTTTTGGGTAGAGACAGTGCTTCACTGTGCTGTCCAGGTTAGTCTCAAATTCCTGGCCTCAAGTGATCCTCCTGCCTCAGCCTCCCAAAATGCTAGGATTATAGGTGTGAACCACTATGCCCAGCCCAAATTCTTTCTGTAAAGGGTCAGATAGTAAAAACTTTAGGTTTTCTAAGACATTTGATCTCTTGGTATAGCTACTCATGAAAGCAGCTGTAGAAAATATGCAAACAAATGGATGTGACTATGTATCAATAAAACTTTATTTGTGAGAACAGATGGCAGGCCAGATTTGAGCTGCAGGTCACAGTTTGCTGACCCTGCTCTAGGCAATAGGGAGCCCTTGAAGGTTCTTGAGTAGACATGGCATGGCCAAAGGAGGAGAGAGGGACTGACACGTTTTGAGCACCTATTAGGTGACAGTCACCTTGCTGAGTATCTGACTGTGGAGTTCAGTGACCTGTTGAGTCCTGCAGGCTCTGCCACTTAATGGCTGTTAAGGATTAAAAGAAGTAGTATGTGTGTAACAAGGTGGAAGATTTCGTTCACCAAGATTTCTAGTCCTGCTTCCTGGGAAGTAAGAAAACGCTTCCAGAATAACAGGCAGAACATGTTTTCTAGGGCAGTAATGGGTGAGAAATTAACCTGGAAGAGCAACTGAGGGTGAGGGTACTGAGAAGGGAGAGACTCTGGGCTGGGTTTCAGGAGGTCTCGAGGGGAGCTAAGGAAGTGCAAAGTTCCTCAAGCCACTATGTGACGAAAGAACTTAAGAAGGAAAAATGTTTGAAGAGGACTTCAAGGAGTCCTTTTCTGTGCATCGAGAATGGGTCCCTCTTTGGCATTTGTTTGAGAAACCAAGTGAACATTTGAATAGAATTGTAGAATAAGGCAGTACTGCTGTCTCTCTGAATCCAGTAACCAAGCAGGGAGTGGGCAGCAAGAGGTGCTAGTTATATTCAGGATATGGTGTAAAGTCCCCAGCACAGTAAGTGCTTAGCACTCACTAAGTGTTATTCACATCTTTTGGACCATGGTCAATTTGATCATCTAAAAATTCTCTTCCCCCTTCAATGGAATAGGAAACTGAGACTTTGGAAGGCTGAGCCCTCATAATCAGTGATAAAGGCTGTCATTGAGCAGATTGGGGTGGGAGGAGCGTAGATGACTTATTACCAAACCTCCACACTCTAAGTGAAGGGTCTCATGGGAACCTGAATGGGCAGCCTCTCAGGGGAAAGTGGAGACAGGGCAGCAAACCATACCAAGCACTGTTTGGGGAGGGTGCTGTTTGGAAAAAGAATGAGTGGGACAGTGTGGGGAAGGTAAGGGTGGGGAGTGGGGTTTGTGTGTGAGCATCACCTAACTTCCAGGCTGTGAGCTGCAGGATTAGCACTGGTTCTCAAGTCTTCTTTCCCCAACACACACACACACACACACACACACACACACACACAGAATACACACATACACACATACATACACACAACAACATGGGATCAGATTCAGACAAGACCCTGGGGGTGGTGGCTTACGCCTGTAATCCTAGC